AGAGGGTACAGTGACGAAACGGGGGAAAACCAATTCGAACACCTCACGGGGCAACCGCCGCTGCAGGCGCTCCGCTGGATTTGTTGGAAGTCTCTGAAGTGGTGCCTCGATGATCCCAAGGGACCAGCAGATTCTTCAGGACTGTAACCACCAAGTAAATCATGAATACGTATATAGTTATATATATATATACATCCCGCCGGGTTGGAAATGGGCCGAGTAAAAACAGCATTTTCATGTGACTGGCAAGAAGTCAATCATGCATTCGCAGTGTTTTTTCATGTTTTTATGTTGTCCATGAAGGTCAATTCTATTGTGATTTAGAATTTTCATTGGGATTTACTGTATATAGTTGACATGTCGGAGTGCGAAAAAGGTTCCTTTTGGGAAGTCAGCGTGCCCAAAACCTCAGCGGCAGCCATTTTTTCCGGTGATCTCTACATCTTCGCTAAGTACGCACCTGTTTTCTCCAACAGGGCTTTTCCAACTACATTTGCATGACGTATGTGCGCACGTGCAAGTGAACGTGCCGTGGCGTAACATCATGGGAGTGCGCAAGTACGTGAACGTTATTGCCCCACCCCACCCCACCTGCACCCCGTATGTGCGTGTGAACGTGCCGTGGCGTAACATCATGGGAGCGCGCAAGTACGTGAACGTTATTACCCCACCCCACCCCACCCCACCCCTGCGTGACGTGACACATCTTCAACGTAGCATGACGTATGTGCGCACGTGCAAGTGAACGTGCCGTGGCGTAACATCATGGGAGTGCGCAAGTACGTGAACGTTATTGCCCCACCCCACCCCACCCCTGCGTGACGTGACACATCTTCAACGTAGCATGACGTATGTGCGCACGTGCAAGTGAACGTGCCGTGGCGTAACATCATGGGAGGGCGCAAGTACGTGAACGTTATTGCCCCACCCCACCCCACCCCAAGGAACATATAAAAACATGCCTAAAACGCTCGGACGGTTTTCAACCCGTAGGCATATACATATATGTATCATAATATATATATATATAAGTAGGTATCAACAATCATCAAGCATCATGAAAAATCATTGAACATAATCCACAGTCATAAAAGATCATCAAAAACAATATTAAACATCATCAGAACTCACCGAGAGATCATCCAACATCATCAAACATCATCAAACATCATCAAACATCATCAAACATCATCAACATCAAACAATTTTGTAACAAAATCAAACTCCGAAATCAGGAACTTTAGTGTACCAGGTCTCAGCAGGCTTCCACTTTTGAGGCCACCAGCGAACGCCGGGACAAGCTGAGGCTCCACAAAGATCGGGGATCTGTTGCCAAGCAAAATGGTGATTTACAACACAGTGAGGTAAACGGTAAATGATGGGATTTTGTGATGGGATGTTATGATGTTATGGTAATTTTTCATGGGATTCGATGGATTTCATGGGATTCGGGGTTCACTGGATTTGTTGATACTTGTTTCATGGGATATGTGTCTCTAATATGATTTATGATATAGATTAAGGTTAGTATGATAGTTAATATGAAAATACAAACAAAAAAAATATGATAATAATATGTTAATATGATATTTCGCTTTGTCTGCAAAATGAAGGTTTAAGCAACAAAAAAAGGGAACACCAAGCATTTTGTGGGGATATTTTTGAGGGATATAAAAGGGACATCATGGAGCAATATGAAATTCTCGGTGTGTCTGAAAATGGGGTATACCCCCAAGGTTGCCATTTTATCAATGAACATATGATGACTAATTAGATAAACGGATGCAATTTGGCGCCATATTTCTTGACAACCCAAGTGGGATCTAAGATAGAGGATATCGTCATTTTTTGTCATCTAAATTCTAACATTACGAGACAACCGAGCAAAAATGACATGAACACTAACAACAGATTTGAAGTTCTTGTAAGTCGGATGTCAGCTCAAGTAAAGTTGACAGAACCAACTCAGTTCTGAGGGTCATCCACGTCTGCATAGACATCACCCAAGAGGACCTATTCGAGGTATCATTTCTCCAAGGACCGTCCGTGGATGCTGCGAGATCCAAGTTCTGGAACTTGATCTAGCCTCCATTTCCATCTTTTTCGACCGGGGAAGTCCCAGTGTTTCAATATTTTTCCACGGAAAATTGGAGGACTATCCTGGATCACTGGCGGATTTGAGTGCATTTTCTGGGTGTCCGGCCAGGGCAGATCTGACCCTAGCGGAGGAAGATGTGAATCGATTGAAGGAGGAGATCAGGCCGGGCGGCTCAATATTTTGTTGACCTCCAAACATAGGATGCCCAGAAAAAGGGGACCAATCTTGTAAAGTTCTGTGGGTCCATTGATATTCCCCAGGCCAAGCTTCTCACTCCCAATATGCCATGCCTCAGGGTTGAGCAAGCGGCTGGCGAGCAATTCCAGGAGGCCGGCGTCAGGGCAAACAGGGAAACAGCACAGGGCATTTACGCAACATCACCTCATGAGTTATAGCAGGGATCAGGAATCAGGACTCTAAAATCCTGTAAAACCTGGTTCAACATTCACCGATACCGCCTATACCTTGGAGCTGCGCCGATTGTTTAGTTTCCCAGTTGCTTGTGTAGCTTCGGAAGATGCCGTAATTTTCGATGGCTAGTCTTTCTGAGTGGACGAACGTTCACAACATGAACTTCGGTGATGAAAGTTGACGCAGCTTTCGTTTGGTTATTGCTATCCTCATAGATCTTCCCAGAATGATCCCCAACACATTCCAATTATACATATATATATATAATGTATAATGTAATATAATTATATATATATATACACATACAGTACACATATGATATATAGTTATGCAGCTATGCTATGCATGTATTATCCAATACATCTCCCAGCTGCAGTGTCCGCCATGCCAGTGTCCAATACATCTGGGGGTTCCACCGGCGCAGCTCCCAGCTCCGAGGCTCTTGAGGCTGGCACCAAGGCGTCTGGGTGAAGAAAAGCTGGGATGGGATGGTTTATGATGACACAAAACCTGGTTGGTGGTTTGGAACATGTTTTTTTTTAAAAATTATTTTTTCCATATATGGGGAATAATCATCCCAAGTGACTTTCATTTTTTCAGAGGGGCTGAAACCACCAACCAGAAACCATTGAAATGGATGATAACTGGGGGTATACCCTGATGGATTGGACACCTGTATGAATTATAAATGAAAATATGTTTGCAGGTGACTATCTGTGAATTGCCAGTCAAAGTGAGTTGGATATGAATGCAGATATTCTGAAGATGCACTCCGTTTGGTTCAACCGAATGTTATCAGTTCTCCCACGAACGCAGTTCTGGCGTTCGTTGATCATGTTGTCATCATCCCAAGGAACTCAAACATGGCAATGGAAAATCCACAACTTTTTGATGATTGTGCCATGAACCTTCATTTATAATCATTTATACAAGGTGGTGTCCCCAAGATAGCTAAGTTGGTTTATAACTCTAATAACTAGGACTTATGGTAGATATATCTACAGTTAATGGGATTATAAACCAACTTATAACTTGAAGGGCACCACTTTGTAGGGGTTCCCATTGTCACGTTACCGCAGGGTGCACCAATCTTACCCCAATTCGAGATGGTTTATGGAAACGGCCGTGTCCAGCCCCAACCAATTGGTTGGTGAAGCAGAAAACTCCGTGCCGCCAGATACAGTACATTCAGTTCATCAATCCCAAACATGAACGTTCTCAGACTGCTTTTAGATTATTTTCCTACGTCACAGTTCTGTTTCTATATAATTCTGAATTCCAAACTCCCTTACAACATGTCCCCCAAAATGATCCAAAATGAAATTATGAGTATTTCGTAGTCATATTTCTGCTTCCAAGAATGACATTAATGCAACAGTTTGCTTTGGACAATTGCACCTTTAGTTCGATGATTATGATGATTTACCTATTGAAAGTGGCCATTTTCCGTGGCAATGTGTCAAATTCCGGGCAGTCATAGTTGCTGGCGGGTCCACAGGTCGCCTGGCCTTTTTCTTTGTTTTTGGTGGGGGGGTTTGGGGGTGGGTGGGTGGGGGGGGCGTAATAACGTTCCTTTTGCTGCGTTCGCTTGGACTTTTTTTTTGTTACCTATTTTTATGTTACGCTTGCAGGCTGCCGCATCATCTTTACGCAACACGGCGTGCTTTCCAAGAAAGCTGGAACACAAGTCATTGACAGAAAGTGGAAGGCATTGAAAGACTTTTTGCCAAGCAACTACCACCGAAAGATCAATGGCCCACATGGCAGCCAAGTCAACCCTCGGATGAGACAGCGTGTCTTTCAGTTTTGCTGGCGCAATTCGCTGAAATGGCCGAGCCCAGCACAGTTCTTAAAACAACTGGCAAAGTTGCAAGGAAAAAAATTGTAGCGGCGTTAGTTTTCAGGATGGTGAAAACTTGCCACCTTTGCCTGACGTCTGATTTCCAATGGGCAAAATACCTAAATGATGGTTTCGTAACCAGGCGACTCATGGACCCGTGACTTCATAGTTGTAGAACCCCAAAATCCCATCGAAGATATCCCCAATAGTCATGTTTGGTACCCAAAATAGCCACGTCTTTCTCCATTTTTTCTGGGTTCTTGGCTCGGCAGGTCGAGCTTAGGAGGTTGAAAGAGGAGGTCTCAGTGCTGGAAGCGACGTGGCGGAATTTGATGTCATGGGATGGGGCTGAAACCTCTCAGAGTTGTCCTTTTCTGCCGTTTTTTTTTAATAATTCCCAAGTTGCACCAAGCCACACCACCGCAACTCCACTCTCAAACCACCAATCGGATCCTCATTTTGCAAAGCCTTCCATCGTCCAAGTCGGTCACCCTAGATGCTTATTTTCCAATGGTTTGATAATCCCAATCGACCAAAGTCCATATCTTTGGGACATGTGGGAACAGGTGGCTCTAGCCACACACCTGAATTAATATTGGGCCCCTGGGCTAATCGAACCTATGGCTACGGGGACAGCCCTGAGCCCATGGCATGCGTTGTGCCGGCGCCGTTGGCCGTGCCATCGCTCCGCGGCGCTTCAGCTTCCGCCAGAAGTCAGGCCGGGCACCAGCCTGAAGAGCTGGTGAATGGTATAGTTACCATGAAACATGGTGAAACATTCACGAAACTGGGATTTTGTATGATTTTTTTAGTAAACGTTGGGTAGGTGAATGTTTTTTCTCTGACTGGGGGAATATACCCAGCGATGCATGAAAGCTCTGTTGCAGGGCAAACTCAGCCATGATTGATCAGAGTGCGTGAAATAGCATAGGCATAAGGATTATGCAAGAAGTGAGGAAGAAACAGCCACACTAATTTACTGTATGAAAACAATCAAGTTTTTCAGTATGCAGTAGATGTAGGGCAACTTCTTGTGCTTGGAATCCGCAGGAGTCATTTTTGTCACCCGCTGAGGGATTTTTTTCCCAACCATCTCCAGTCCTTGTGTGTGCGGGGGAATGGTTTGAGGTTTGACCTCATTTTGCTAACATTAGGATTATGGGGTTGGTTCCCTGTCCGACGTGCAACTGAAAGAAGGAATTTACAGATACTCATAGAACTGACAGCACAGATATGCACAGATGCCAAGCCGGACTATAACAGTGTTTTCACAACCAATTTGACAGTCAGGACGTCTGTTGATATAGATTGCCCAAAAAACATACCTTGACCATATCGATGTATCTATGCCGAACTTCCCAAAATCTCCCAGAATTGAAAGGAAAATAATGGAGACGCGTTGATTTTCCTTGCCCCATTTGTATACCTTGCCGGCAAGCATCTCGAAATCAAATGAACGCAGCGAACTCTAAAAGACATGCATCGCATGGCAGAACATCGATGAGCAAAATGCCCACTTTGTCCAAACCAAACATATGTCTCAAGTCACAGGATTTCAAACGAAATTTCACATGTAGGAAACCACATTTTCCCCGCCAAATCTCCTACTTAGAGTCCTCGTGTCAGGCCCCGGCAGCACCTCGTGGCCGGCGCCCCATCCGGCGGAGCAACGTGCTGCGTCCCATCCGGCGAAGCAACGTGCTGCGGCCATCGCCAAGTTGAGACGCAAAGGTGGGGGAAATCATCGGTGAAACGTGGTGATAAACATTGCTAAACCAACAAATTTAGGGGTTGTTGTATCGAATTTTCAACAACTTTAAGGGTTCTTGTACCGCGTTTTAGACTAATGAACATGAATTAACTACGTATTAAATGTATTGGATGAAATAGTATTAAAAGGTGGTTAAAACATGTTAAAACATGTTAAAACCATGTCGTTAGCCCCCGGCTCTGATAGACATTGATAAGATAAACTATGGGATTTAGGGGGTGCCCTATTTTCAGAGAAGGCCATACTTTTTGGATCTTTTTGGAGGATAGGTGGGTAGATGTGGGTAAAGCCAAAACACGTTTTGTGGACGTATCAAAGGACACAAAGGGTCTTGAACACTGGAAAATGATGTATCGTTTATGGTGGAAACTCAGAAATGGTATGGGATGGTCAATCTCAAACTTACAAGGAGCCAAAAAGCGCACATACCTTGCATGATACCTTGGATGATCGAGCGCAATCCACCTTTTGCGTGAGCATAAGTTCAGCGTTTTTTCGAGCGGCTCAAGGTGCCGTCACGCTGGCACTGAAAATGAGATGAGGCTTTGACAGAATATATATATACAATCTGGTTGGTGGTTTGGAACATTTTTTATTTTCCCCAATAGTTGAAACCACCAATTAGTAATTATTATACCATCTAAAGCACCATCTAATACACCTTTAATACGCCATTTTATAGACCTTTAGTATACTGTTTCATAAGCATTTAGTATACCATTCATCTTGAATATACACGTAATATACTTTACTGTCCATGAATATGTTTTTGATATACCTTTGAAACACCATCTGATACATCTTTAACATACCTTTGATATACAGTACCTTCAAAAACATACCTTTGATATACCTTCAAAACCTTTAGTATACCAGCAATATACATTTTTCTGTCTGATACACCTTTAATGTGCCATTTTGTATACCTGTCGTCTGTCGTATACCTTAAAAAAACACACACACATTGTATTGGCCCATGAAAATATCTTTAATATACCTTTAGTATGCCTTTATCATACCTTCAATATTAATTGAATATACCTTTTAAATACCATCTGATACCCCTTTAATATACATTTAATGCACCATGTCATATACCTTTAGTATACCATTTCAAAAGCCGTTAGTATACCATTTGATATTGTTTTTTTCCAAGGTTTTTTTCCAAAGATTTTTTTTGGTTTTCTCCATGTGGCCCTCCCCAAAGAGTCTCCACATATTGTTTTTTTTTTGGTTTTTCCAATGTTTATTTTGGTTTTCTCCGTGGGGCCCTCCCCAAAGAATCTCAACAACTATTTTTTTTCGTGTTTTTCCAGCCTAAGGCCCTTCCCAAAGGACGATGGCTGCCATGACAATGAATGTCTTGAAGTGGAGGCCAAAAATTGGCCTTTGTTTTTGGAACATTCAGTTTAACTTGCACATTATTGTGATTATACTTTAATATACATATTGCTTATTTCTTCATGGTATTTGGATAGTTTTTGACAATATGTATATATAAGCATATCTAAACATTATCATAGCAATATTCCTCAATGGACCTTGGGGTAGGTCCATTTGAGGACGGTGACCATACATATACATATATATAATATATATATATAAACTGTGTCTGATATCGTGACAGAGTAATCTTCGTCCATGACCACGACAGGTGACTGGCAGGGCGCCCTGAGCATCCTCTTTGGAGGTGAGTCCATGGAACTGGCGCCCAAGTCGTGATTTTTCAATCGCGGATGGTGGAAGTCTACAAACATTTGGTGATAGTATTTATATGTATTTATAATACATAATATATACTGTACCCTCCAGTAAATTAACATAGACCCTGCCAGATAGGGGTTGGAAGACTGGTTTCCATTAAAAATTTGTTCTTTTCAGGGTCTATGTTAATTTACCAGAGGGTATATAATATACAGTATATATATATTTAAAATAATATATTATAGCATATTTATATACATATATATATAATGGCGATATAATGGGGATGTAATGGGAATAGAATGCGATTTAACTAGATTTAACTAGCAAATAAGGGAATATATATATATATAATGGTGAATTAATAGGATATTGATGGGATATAAATGGTGAATTTTAGTGGGATATACTCATATATACTGATATATATATAATATATATATATATATATACTGGGCTGCATCCTGAGTTGAGAAACCACCATTTTGAATGTACTGTTTGACATTTCAACTTATTTCGTGATGAATGTCCAACTGCAGGCAGGTCATTGCACTGTTTCCATATTCCTAGTCCTGTGGGTCATTGTCATGTGTGGCCAACAAGGGCAAACCATAGAAGCATCACGTCCCATCTTGTTCAGTCTTGTTCAGCAATCGGCATTCATGTCAGTGGATGAACTTTGGATTCATTGGGTGTTGTGTACATCTTTGCTATGCTTTGCTTGGGTTGCCGGCAAAGCTTGGCAAGACAGATTCGGAGCTTGTCACATGTGGACGCATGGCTGTGTATTCTCAGCAGCCCACCACACTGTTGGGCATCTTGTTGTCATGGTGTATATCCACAGTGGTGTCGTCCTAGACAAACTGCAGGCAAGTCGAGTCATGCTCCTTGCATTGCACTGCTTCCATATTCCTAGCCCTGTGGGTCATGTGTGGCCAACAAGGGCAAACCATGGAAGCATCACGTCCCATCTTGTTCATTCTTGTTCAGCAATCGGCATTCATGTCAGTGGATGAACTTTGGATTCATTGGGTGTTGTGTACATCTTTGCTATGCTTTGCTTGGGTTGCCGGCAAAGCTTGGCAAGACAGATTCGGAGCTTGTCACATGTGGACGCATGGCTGTGTATTCTCAGCAGCCCACCACACTGTTGGGCATCTTGTCATGGTGTATATCCACAGTGGTGTCGTCCTAGACAAACTGCAGGCAAGTCGAGTCATGCTCCTTGCATTGGCAAAGCTTGGCAAGACAGATTCGGAGCTTGTCACATGTGGACGCATGGCTGTGTATTCTCAGCAGCCCACCACACTGTTGGGCATCTTGTTGTCATGGTGTATATCCACAGTGGTGGCGTCCTAGACAAACTGCAGGCAAGTCGAGTCATGCTCCTTGCATTGCACTGCTTCCATATTCCTAGCCCTGTGGGTCATGTGTGGCCAACAAGGGCAAACCATGGAAGCATCACGTCCCATCTTGTTCATTCTTGTTCAGCAGTGGGCATTCATGTCATTGGATGAACTTTGGATTCATTGGCTATTGTGTACATCTTTGCTATGCTTTGCTTGGGTTGCCGGCAAAGCTTGGCAAGACAGATTCGGAGCTTGACACATGGGGACGCATGGCTGTGTATTCTCAGCAGCCCACCACACTGTTGGGCATCTTGTTGTCATGGTGTATATCCACAATGGTGGCGTCCTAGACAAACTGCAGGCAAGTCGAGTCATGCTCCTTGCATTGCACTGCTTCCATATTCCTAGCCCTGTGGGTCATGTGTGGCCAACAAGGGCAAACCATGGAAGCATCACGTCCCATTTTGTTCATTTTTCACGAAAGCTAGCGTCAGCTAGCTGGAGTCTTCTTGCTTTAGCAAGTATTCAGGGGGCTGCTCAAGGACATCACGTGATTTTTCACGCGAAAGGGGGGGACCCCCCCCATATATATCATTGTTATATATCATATATCATATATCATTGTTGCATCCTCGTTGGGACGAACAATGCCGCGACACGATGATGACAGTCCCTCCGCAACTCACCTCTTCCCTTCCTTCTTTCTCCTACCCCGCTAGCTTTCGTCATCCACCCCCGGCCTCAAGTGTGCATTTATGTGAGTTGAGACAAGTAACCTCTCTCATTTGTAGGTACCGGAATTTGGTGTGTCTCAAGCTGGGCTACCGGGATACCCCTAAATCCATCTGTGAATCATATTTTTTCGAATTAAACCTACGGTAACGACATTTAAATGTAGTTAGGGTAGTCTAAAACACCTGCGCGTATATTTAAAAGTCCGTATATTTAAATGTAGTTACCGTATATTGACATTTGGTGGTATACTCCAATGGGAAACCCAATTTTAACTATACCCTTCCGCTGGTGCAGGTCCGCAGGATTTGGTTCTCTTCACTTCCGCTGCCAACGTTTGTGCCAAAGCTTCGACATGGAGGACGACAATGGATGGAACGTAACTGGCCCGGGGTGGATCTCCCCTACAGTACGGTAGTTGTGGCACTTTTGGGGGGAAACATGATGAGAAATCTGTGGACCTAAGGGGATTCCATGACTGTCCTGTTTTGGGACTGCAGCGACTCCAATCATGTCCATTTCTTTTTGAAATAGCACAGATGTTTACCACAGTCAGCCAATATTCTGGTCAGAGCTTCCATGGTTATATCACGTTATATCTATACCAACTTCATTGGTTTGTTTCTTCGTGTTGTTTGCTTTTTGGGTAATTTTCTCATTTTTTTCTAACGGGATGCATAGGATCACCCAAGATCATACAAAGGGACGAGACTGAAGAGACTCCAGCACATGGGAGACGGCATATGGGATGGCACCGCCATTGATATGGCAAGATGAATCTGATAGGATTCCCAATGGTAAGCATGAAGCATATACCATCACCCTGTACCAGGATGGCAAACGTGACGGGATGGTCTCTGACGACGATCTGTGGTTTTCTGCAGGACAGCTGTTGCCTTATTGGAGAAGTTGCAGATCACATCGCAGCCAGATGTGATCTTTTGGAGTTCACTTGGAGATGCCTATAGCTTCTCTGGCCGGCCTTAGCGGTGTACCCAACTGGGTAGCGGTGTGTGGTTTCAGCAGTTTCATGGCGGGGAAATCCCTGGTCTGGGGAGATTTTCCCTGGCTACATGGGATTGATTGATCCCAATCGACGGATTTTTAGGCTGCGGCGCCTGCGGGGGGTTCAACAATGTTCAACAATGTTCAACAACCAACCACTTCTGGTTTGTTAACCTTGGAAGATCTTGCAGGCAAATTGGTAGTGGTGAGAGTTGGGAAGCCCAGAAAACACCAAAAATTGTTGACGGTGTGTTTGTGGGACACTGAACCAAACCACTGTGGCTGGCTGGAGGTCTCCATTGTTGATGAATTGTTTTTACATGTATGGGTACTGTGTAATCAAACCTGGTAAGGCTTAAAATCATGCTTAAAATCACCATGTTCATCCATTTTCAAGCATCTTTCATGGGGAATCATCTGACTCCAGGTATGAATGCATTATTTTTTTGGAAGAGCACCATTTCAATGGGGTATCACTGGCCGAAAAACCCCGTTTGACGACAACTGAACCGCCAAGGTTCAGTTGGGAAGTGGCAGCACGCACTGTGGGCTCTACTGCAGGTCGATCTGGGGAGCTCCCTACCTCTGGTTTGGTCCATGTATACCTGCAATGTGTGTATCAATAAGGATGGTATATCTACATAGAAATAGTATGACATCGGATTTGTTGTGTGTATCATCTACAAGATGCACCAGATATAACATAACATACTAAAACTAGTAATGATGTCAAATGATGCCAAGTATACATAAATTGCGCATATGAATCATATATATGTCATATTTATAGTGATTTATACACAGCATATATATTTATATATGATATATAATATGATAATATATGTACAGCCTAAGTCATCAGAACCTAGTATATATATATTATTTATACCGATTTATACTGATTTATACATATCATATATATATATATATTCATTGCATATATCATATATTATTCATATTTCATGGGCTGACCACAGATCCAAATTCCGCACTTTCCCTGGAGAAGGAGCCGCAGGCGGCACGCCTGGATCTCACGGCCGTGTCCTATGCCTCGGCCCTAACGGCCTGTGAACGCGTGTCGCTCTGGGAGAAGGCGGTGGAACTGGGAAGTCCCCGAAGAATGGGGGAAGTTTCATGGATTTTACGAGCAAAAATGGTAATGTTCATGGATTTATTTGGGAAAAGATGTGGATTTTCATTGATTTTAATGGGAACATGTAGATTTTCATGGATTTTCATGGGAAAAAATGTGGATTTTCATGGATTTTCATTGGAAATCCGCCCACACCGCTTTGGCGGTGAAGGCGTGCTTATTGGGGGGCAACAGCAACACTAAATGCTCAATGACATTTGTTAATATAGCAGTCGCTATATCAGCTTTAGCTGGGGGGGGGGGGGCCAAAAACGGTTTCGCACCGAGACCAGACCCCAAAAACGGTTTCGCACCGAGACCAGAATACGGTGGTGTTTTCGACATTTTTTGAGGATTTTTGGGTGTCTGAGCGCAAGAGGGTATTGAAATGGAATTTTGGGTCATTTTGGTAGCTTTCCGGCAATGGAAAAACGGCCAAAAATGAAAAAAACATTGTACATAGCAAGATTTTGCAGGGTTTTTGGATGCCAGAGCATTGAAAACACTGCAAAAACAAGTGTTTTGGATTGACGTTATAGCAAAAAACGTGTAAATTACCGTATGTTTGACTGGAAACATTACAAAAACACTGTCAAAAGCAATGTTTTGGAAGGATTTACTGCCTTTATGGCAAAACAACGTGTAAATTACCGTCTGTTTGACTGGAAACATCGGAAAAACACTGTCAAAAACAATGTTTTGGAAGGATTTCTTATATATATATGTTGGAGTTGGCTACCGGCATTGGCACATGGAAAAATTGAAGAAAACACTGTAAATAGCGGTATTTTCAACGGTTGGGGAGATAAGGGAATTGGAAGCATTGTCGAACATGATGTGTTCGACCGGTTTTATGGCGACAAAAGTGTAAAGTACCGTGCTTTGAAGGAAACCATTGCAAAAACATGGAAACACATTCAAAGAACACGGGATTTGGGGGAATATCTAGGCGTCGTTGTCTAGCTATTTGAAATTCCGCAGCTTGGAGAGCCTCCAAGGGAGGGAAAAGTGAAAATTCCATAGCTTGGGAAGCTGTCACGGCGGGGAAAAGTGAAAATTCCCTAGCTTGGGAAGCCCCCACGGGGGGGAAAGTGAAAATTCCCTAGCTTGGGGAGCCCCCACGGGGGGGAAAAGTGAAAATTCCCTAGCTTGGGGAGCCCCCACGGGGGGAAAAGTGAAAATTCCCTAGCTTGGGGAGCCCCCACGGGGGGGAAAAGTGAAAATTCCCTAGCTTGGGGAGCCCCCACGGGGGGGAAAAGTGAAAATTCTTAGCTTGGGGAGCCCCACGGGGGAAAACCACCCCCCTCTCACGGACCGAAATAAACCTGCGGTGTGGGCGGCCACCCCACGCGAAGCGGGGTGAATATGTGGATTTTCATGGATTTTAATGGGACATATGTGGATTTGTGGTGATAATCATGGGATAATGTTGGTGATTTATGGTGATCTAATTAACCACATGAAAGGTATGAAAGTAGAGTTTTCAACTCAACAAATGGGAATTCACCTGGTTTAACTCACTTCACAATTTTTATTTGGGATTTTGCAAGAGGAATTGGGACCCAACATCGGTCAAGTGCGGATGTCATGCGCTAGAACGGAGATTCAACCTCTACAAATCTGGATTTAAACTGAAATTTGGAGGCAAAGCTTTTGGCATTTAGCCAGATGTTTTTTTTTGGCAACTAACATGCAGGTTTAGCAAAAGTGAGGACAACTTCAATCAGCCAATGTGGCCGTAAAATGCTGGGGACCAGCGACACCTCCCGAACTGGGGGGTTTGCAGATGAATTGATTGGAATTTTCAAATCCGGTAAAATCTGAGGATAGTTTTACTAATCCCATCCCCCTAATATTCAACACCACCCAAGAAACCATAGTTTTTTAGTAGCGAATATCCGCATAATTGGGACCATTTGGGGGGTGTTAATATTAGGGGATGGGATTATTAACTCAGTGTGTTACAATCAACTAACTAGTTTCAACTGGCCAATGATAATTAAATCATATCATCACATCATGCAGATGATTAGTTAGCAGTCAAAATTTGGCTAGTCGTCAGTTATGCCTCTCTGGCACCCCCCCAAGAGATGGAACCATCTCCATCATTTCCAGGTATTTTCGGATATCTGTTTAGCATATCCCATACTCCAAACGGGGGTTTCCTATGACTCATAGGAGTACCCCCAAATCAAGTCAGGGATGACCAGGTCGTATTGAAACCCATGGTGACTTGGGGTACCTCCATTTTAGGACCCCCCCAAATGAATCAAAATTCTAAGAATAGCCATGACCCCGGAGCCCGCTTTTGGTCGCAAAGCAGGTCCTGCATCTCTTAGAGACAGCTGAGGCGATTTCATGGGATTTCCAAAGGATACACCATGGAGATGGGTGGAGATTCTTCACTATTTCAACCAGAAACGTTGAGACATCTTGTTGAGACTATGATATTTAATCAGCTAGGAATTAAGATATATATATATGTATTTTACATGACACTTATATTGGCAAACATGGAGATTCAAACCCTTGGGATTTAAGCAGCAAAAATACGGTGACTAATACTCCGTTCAGAACGGGGATGGAAAAACCAAGCACCATTGGTGGATTTTTCAGCAAGAATAATGGTGGATTCCGCGCATGGAACCTTGAGAGTGGGTTGCTGAAATGGGTTCCAGTAGAGACGCAGCAAGTTTCGAGATTCCAGATGCAATTTCCATTCCTTCATGATTTGTACGTGTCCCTCACTCGATGTGAGTACGCACAACCCAATCACCTCCAAGTGAATATGAGTGAACCATAGTGAACCTCACTTCTGCCGTCGATCATCACCAAACGGCAAATGATACGGTACCCTCTGGTAAACTAACATAACTATGGAAAATCACCATGTTTAATGGGAACATCCACTATAAATGGCCATTTTCAATAGCTATGTTTGTTCACCAGAGGGTACATCATGGATTTGCGTCAATCCCCAAAGACAACTGGGTGTATTTCATTGGCCCAGAATTCGATGATCCGGGACAATTTACAGGAACTCCCGAGATTTAAAGACCCACGTCTTACAAAGGTTCCATCCAATCTGTTGATATCAAGTATTAAGGATATGGAGGTATACCAATGTATACCACCATTGACCCTATTTTTGAAAAACTGGATCTCTCAACCCGTTTTTTTTGATCTACCCATGGCGATTTGTCCGTTGTAAACCTTGAGTTACAGCAGTTGAGAATTCTTTTAGGATCATCCAATGACCCCAAGACAGATTACAGCTGGATCGAAAGATCCTTGACCATCGATGTACAGTAGACAAACCCTCATTGATTTTTCCTAAGGCGCTTCCCATAAATCGTATTAAGAATCATATGATTCAAATCCATTCGATTCCCCTTCCCAAAAAATATATGGGGCGGAAGCCCATCCGCGGCCGCTCGAAGGCCAGAAATTTGGTGAACGCCTTTTCCTACAGCTCCGCCATCGTCGCCTGTGGTTCCGCCAAGCGCTGGCAATGTGCCTTGGAGCTCTGGGAGGCGATGACCAACAGGGGACCAGCGCCGAATGTGGTGGCGATGAATGCGTTGCTTGGCACCGAAAACCATGAGCTGATGGATAGGGGGATGGATTTGGTGGTAGTCCATTATCATTATCTATATATATATATAGATCCAATGATATAAATCATATAATTGACCCATTTTTGAAGTATGAGACTTATTGGATGTGGTACAAAGGTATTTTTTTATTTTTTTGTGGCAGGGGGCATTGTCAAAAGCAGTAACTGCAACCAGCCGGTTTGTTCCATACATCATCGTGGATATGCCAGATGGTTAGATGGGTGCTCTGCGACTTGATGCTAAGGGATTTTCTCCAAAATACAGCTTCAGCATGATATACTAAAACTGCTTGGTGGTTTGGAACATTTTGGAACATGAATTTTATGACTTTCCATTCAGTTGGGAATCATCCCGACTGACGAACTCATATTTTTCAGAGGGGTAGGTCAACCACCAACCAGAAAACATTTGCCACGAATTCACAGTAATTTGGTTCCTTTAGGGACGATCAATCAACACAACACCTTCAAGAACCCACAAAACTTGTAATAAGACCCCAAAACAATGCCGATTAAATATAGAAACCGAACAACAAAAAAACCTAATCAGGTCATCTACCAAAATTAGATGTGAACTTTTAAATTTACAGGAACCCCAACCAATTTGTGAGTAAAAACTACAGTATGATTTCACGAAAAAAAACTGAAACCAATCCATTGATCATCAAACTAAAATCAGATGTGGTGCTCATGAAAATCCCCACACATCCCTTTTGCGGTAAAATCCCCTATTTTGAATTTCCATTGAACCAATATCTAAACTTCAACCCAACTTCTGCCACTGCGTCATCCTGCGTCTCCCAGGACCCTCACCGCGTTGCAGCGTGGCCGCCGTTGGTTTTTGGCCCTTCAGCTCCTTGACGCGGTCGACGCGGCTGGGACCGTTGCGGGCGATGCGGTGACTGCTGCGGCGCTGGCGACGGCGGAGAGCTGGGAATGGGGTCTGCTGTATCTGCTAAGGGCCACAGAGAAGGGAATGAGGCCCTGGACGTTGATGACGTTGGTGATGGTCCTTGATGTTTTTTTTGGTTTTGGAGACGAGACTGCAGTTGGGGGCTTCAGGGTTTGAACATGATTTTGTTGGATGGGATTGGTTATATTCATCCAACAAAATGGCAAGTGTCACTGGGGGAACATAATGATGTTTTAGACAATGTCCTTTTTTTTGCTAATCCTGGAATTGTTGTGGGGTTGGTGGAGCAATTTTCAATTAAGGGACACCTGGAGGCACTGAGTTCGGGCGACTTAGGAGCAATGACGTTGAACCATTTTGACCAAACAAATGGGAGTATTTTGATGGGAGAAGCAATCAACTGGTCGGTCGGTGGTCACCAAGTGAGTCTTTTTTGGCGACACACGATCACCCCATTGGCCATTCGCAGTGCATATGGGTCTGTCAAAAATAGGGTATATAGTATATACCTCTAAATCCAGTCGTCTATCAACATTTTCCCATATTTTCCCCATTAAACATATATTTTGGGGGTATGTATCCTATTCTCAGACAACCCTTTGGTGATCTTGCAGGATCAGGTACACCCCGAGGGTGAACCAGTCTGAATATTGTAAGCAGTACTGGTTTCAGAATACCACCAGCTAGAGTATAGTAGTAAGTGAAATACACCAGGTTATATAAATCCACTCAACATTGGGGGATTGCTGGTAGGTATTTACGAATTATTCTTCCACTTGAAATTAGATGATTAGGTGACTGATTGAGTCCTGTGAAGTACTAATTTCTGGTGAATTCCACTTATTCACTTAACTGACCTCAACTGGACCCATTCCTGGTGAATGTCCAGTGAATTTCAAGATGGTAGCTATGCTAATATCTAACTAACATTCCTGTAATCTTGAAGTTTCCTAGAAGAAACTAACATAGATGGGGAAAACCCATGGTTTTAGGAAAATGATCTACACATGGTGGCTAAAAGCCACATTTCTGTTAGATAAAACACTGGGGTATCGTGGTAAGGGGTGCTCCCCTGGTAGGCTTGGCCCCTCTGCTTTCAGCTCTGTGGCGCGACAAATGGGTCCCTGGTTACCAGGGGCGTTTTTTGGATTTTCCCCTGCGAATTGGAGGGGTAGGGGACAGATCCGGCCCAAAAAGTGGGGGAATGCGGATTTTTCACCAGGCATTGACCAACCAACAAGCCAATGTGGAGATCAAACACAGAAAGTTCTCCAGTTCTCCAAAAAGTCGAGGATTCAAACGGGTATGGGTCAAAATTAAGGTACCCCAATAATTGGATGGTTAATACTAAACTAGACTAACATCTGTGGTCCCCTAGGTCTTCCATTTTGACCCACATCCAAATAGTGATTTGGGATTTGCCAATGGTCGAATGTGCATGTCCAGGTCACCAGGGAGCTTGGCAGCAGGCGAAGAAATTGCTGGCACTGCTCAGAAGCCTGGTATTTGAAATAGGCCGCCAAGCTGCCTTGGGTGTGGAAAATTGGGAACATGCTAGCAAAATAGCATGGGATGATTTTGGATGATTTTGGTTGATCATCATGAATTTCCTGTCATGTTCCCGCTCGCAGCAAAGTAGCATTCCAATAGGGAAGATTTAGAGGTAGCCTATTTTCAGACAACGCCTATTTGGCTGTGTTTCATCGCCAGAGGGTATGGTTTATGTGTTTACCATCCACATAAACCAACCATTTATGGTAATATAGATGGATAATAATGATAGATATATAATGATATATACAACCTACAATACGTTTTTTTGAACGCGTCTGGAAATGGAGTATACCGTATACCATAGTACAATTGTGATGGGAAGATAGACCATTAAAGTTTGGGAATGCCTGATTTTCAGACCAACTCAGTTATAGCCGCCCTGGATTTTCAGCAAGAAAATCTCAGGATTCAACCATATCGGGGATATTTCATGAGGGAGAAAACAAAAACATGGAATACCCTTTGGTAATTTCTTGCCGTTTGCGAACTGGTTTTTATATGTCTCATGAATAGTTCGATTTTTATTAGCGTTGCTAATAGCTATGTTGAATTCCCAGAAGCTATTATTTGGTGCATTTAGGGTGTACCCTCTGGTAATTTAAGGTAGCTATTGAAAATGGCCATTAATAGTGGATTTTCCCATTAAAAGTGGTGATTTTCCATAGTTATGTTAAATTACCAGAGGGTATTGTGAATCATCCCCCAAAATGGGCTTGATTGTTGGGTTTGCCACATGATTTGGGGAAACTACCCAGCTCCCCTTGCTGAGCAAATCTGAGGAAAATACCCAGCTACCGTGAAGTTTGAAGTTTGGTGCAGCGTCCTCTGGGCCATGGACGTCTCATGTCGCAAGGGCGTCAGGAATCTCGTGCGAACTTGGGCTTGTGAGTGGTTCAGATCGCCAACTTCAGGTTTTTCTTGATTAGCCCATTTGGGAAAGTACATATTGGATCTGGGATTTTCCCCATGATTTCGAGGGTGGTATGAGGGTGGTCAAGATTTGTACACTCTTGATGCACTTGGTCCATGCACTACCCGTCCCGATTATGGGGTTGGAACTTGAGACCATTTTTGGAGCCTTCAGGATGATCATGGACATGATATGACATGATAAACATTAGTGTGGTCCCTTGGGTCAAGGGAGCTCAAGTGATGTTGAAGTAATGTGGATCTTGTGATTCAGCGTGTGTAGCCATGGATTTGTCAGCAGTTTTTGGATGTTTTTGGAGGAGACTACAGTTTTAAGCGATCACACCGAAGACATACCACCAGGCAGTCCTCTGGATTAACGTTCAGGAATATCTATGAATATTTGCAGTCTTCAGCCAATAAACAGATATAGAACTACACTAGAAATACAGCAGATAGAATAGAACTCTATTTCATCTATTAGAACATCAAATAGATATATAACTTACATAAAATGCATGTCCCATAAATTGCTGCCAATTTCTACCAGTAATTTACCAACATTACAGATAAAATCCAATCCTTAGATCCCATAGGATCCATGTATGCTATATACGGTAACATTTACCATTAATATACCCCCAATGTTGGCATATATACCATACATGGATCCATCCTTAGATGTGAAAATGGGTCCCCAGATCTCTCAGGTTTCTGGCGTTCCACTTCCCCTCGATGGCCTTGGGACCAGCATCTACCGGGGCGGGCGAAAGGCGGGGATCCGATGGGTGTTTTTTGACCGATGGGTTTAGCGATGTCAAAGGGGTAAAATTCAAGCACCAAAATTCCTGTTTTAAAGGATTTTTATGGGATTTTGTTTGTGATTTTAGGAGATTTCATGGGTTCAGAAAGGCATACAAGTAGAATATGATTGGATATTGATTTAATATGATATAACCATAACCACCAAACATGGTGGTGTAATTTTTGCTTAGAATGTGATATATCATCCAGACATGACTTAGCTGAAC